GAAACATTTCACGTTGGAACGTGTTGTTGGACTCGTGAATCATTTCACTCTGTGGGCAGCGTGATACCACTACATAGTACATACAGTATAAATAAACGCTAATTGTTTTTTTTTTTTTTTAATTTTTGGATTTACGCAGACACAAATCACGTTGGAACGTGTTGTTGGAGGAGATCCGGATCCATCAATTGTGTAGCTCACAATGCCAAAAAAAAAAAAGACAGAATCATTCCTATTCAATTTAGGGCTATCAACAGGTTGGTTCTGAATAGGGTTTAGGTAGAATCAGTTCGGGACTGACTATTAATTGGGACAAAATTATAGACCGAAAACCGTTTTGATTAAGAGTCGTATCTATCGGGTTTAGACTTGATTACGCTAAAACTATATTTGTTTATTTAAATAGTAATTTAAAATGTAAAATTTCAAAATATAATCTTAATAAAAATGATAGAAAAATAATAAATTATTTATATGTTAATAAACTAAATTTTTAACTAATATTATCTTATTTATTAACTATCAAATTTACCATTTCAAACAAAAATATGATACAAGTTATAAGAAATTGAGAAAATATAATATATATTTAATAAAATAATTAGTTTCGGGCCTTAATCATTTTGGGACAGGCAAGAGCCCAAACTGACCCAATTATCAATCGAGACAAAATCATAGAACCAAAAAACATTACGATTGGTTTGGGTCCATCGGGTAGACCCAACCCATTGACAGCCCTAATTTGATATGATATTATTCAATTTTGGTTTGTTTTATTTTTTAAATAGGGTCATTTACTTAGAAACCCCCTATAGTTTCATGTACTTAGTACTTACTATGAACTACTGTTTAGTTTGTGTATTACTTAGGTGCTCCCTCTACTTTGCAATCAATTTACTTATTGTTAGGGGTGCTCACGGTTTGGTTAACCAAACCTTGGCCCTAAATTTCAAACTGAATCAGTAGTATTGGTTTTTTGAAAATGGGTAATCGAAACTGAACCAAAGCCGATCGGTTAACCAGTTGATTCGTTTGGCTAACTGTTGGTTTGGTTTATCGGTTCTTTTGACTTTATAAAATATGTTGCAAAAAAAATATTAATATATAATAAAAAAATAGAAATACATATAAAATATTATAATATAAATAATAAATAATATATATATGTATGTATGTATGTATGTATGTATGTATGTATGTATGTATGTATGAATATATATATATATATATATATATATCAATCGGTTCGACTGACTGCTGATTTTTTTTATATTTGTTAACTAAAACTGAATCGATATCTTTGCTTTTTCAAAAATACCAAATCGACCAATTTAATTAACTAAAATTTTTTATTCGGTCTCATTGGTTCACTTCGGTTGGGGGTGTTTTTCACACATGCATGGGCAATGGTGCGAATGTGAGTGTATGTACGTGCCACACCCTATCATTTTCCTCTTTGACCGTTTGTTTTTTAACCATCGCTTGGTTTGAACATTTGAACTTTATTTTTTAAAATGTTTCTCCTTCCTCTTTTGTTGTGTCTCTTCGAACTAGTGCTTATTCCGGAGAGACACATCTCTGTTTGTGAATGGACATCTCTATGTCTGTTCGGGTGACTGAAAGCACTCTATAAATAGAGTGTTGGTCAACTTGATGATATAGTGGTTTGTGGAGGTCTAGTAAGCAAGTGCATGTTTATCAGTAGCCTGTAGGCTGTTTTATCTTGTTGACCGATTTGCAATCACTCAACTGCACCATAAGGGACAAATGCAGTTTTAAGGAGAGTGACCAAGTGGCACGACTCAACCCTCATTTTTATTATAATTCTTAGTTTACAACAATAGTTCTAAAACACTGCTACGAATTGGTTTTGGAAAGCATTCACTGATAAGTTCCATTTTGGCTTTTGTTACTATAATTTGCAACAATCTTAAAATCACATTATGGAACCTATCTCTTCTACCCCCCTCTCATGGGAAATTGGATACTGTTAAGAGTCTAAGATTGAACATTTCAACAGAACCAATTATAAGCATTGGAGACAATGCCTTCTATTTGTCTTAGAACAACTAGGGGTAGCCTCTACTTTGACTGAATCAAACCCAATGAATATGGAGGAACTAGCCCATTCAGTTGTTGCACAACATTAGTTCATTGCTAACCACCTCTACAAGAACCATATCCTAAATTGCCTGTCCAATGAATTGTACAATGTTTATTATTCCTACAACTTTTCCTATAAAATTTGGAATGCTTTGGACAACAAATATACTCTAGAAAATGCCAATTTCTACAACTTTTCCTATAAAATTTCTTATATATATATATATATATATATATATGTGATTGCCAATTTCTTGCATTTTACCATGAAGGAAGACATTTATGTATTTGCCCAAATAGATGAGTTTCAGGTATTTGTAGGGGGAACTAGTTAAAGAAGGCATGACATTGTCAGATGAATTTATTGCCAGTTCTCTTATAGAGAAATTGTCACATACATAGAATAGTTTTAAAACTAATATGAAACACAAGAGAAAGGACACAACTTTGGATCAAGTACTGGTCTGAATCTAAATAGAAAAAATGAATAGAAAGAATAATGAAGTTCAGATTTCCAAAACCAACTCAATGGAGGAAATGACTACAAAATTCAAAAAGAGATTAAATGTGAAAAATGACCAAAAGTTTATGAAGCAATAGAAGAAACGGTAATGCTTTGTATGTGGCAAATCTGCGCACTACAAGAAAGACTGCCGCCACTGAAAGAAGAAAGACTCTAGGAAACAAAAAGTCAACTTGATTGAGGATATTATTGTAGCCATGATAATCGAGGCAAACTTTGTTGATAAATCGAAGGAGTGGGTATTGGTGGACAGATCCAGGTAAGTAAGCTCTGTTAAGTTTCCTAAAGTAGAAGGAAATGAACTTGTCAGATGGTTGTCAAATATTTTTAGGAATAGTTCAGTCAAACCAAAGATGAAGGAATGGGCCTAGTAAGATTATTTAATTGCAATGACATTTCTATAAGAGACTTCAAATTTTCGTAGAGGTATAGAAGGAATAGGTTGGTCAAGTTACATTAAGATATTGGAATTAGCCCTATAAAATTATTTGTGTACACAGATAGTATTGTGACTTAAAATTTCCTATTTCATGGGGTATAGGACCAAATAGCTATTTCTCATAGAGGGACAAAGCTGTGAGGCTGCTCAAGTTATCTAAAGACGGAAGAATGCTACTGGTGATATGGTTTTGATCCAGATACAAGATTTTGAGACTTGTTAATAGGCCTAGTTCTGATGATATATCTCCGGAAAACTGATTGATAGACAGATCAAGGTGGGTCAATTTGGAAAGATTGTACAGATAGGATGGAATGGTGCCGAAGAGCATATTATTAGTAAGATGAAGATGGATAAGGTTTGGAAAGGATGAAAATTTGAGGTTATGGAGTGTATTTTGTAATTAACTTTCTTACCTTGGGGAAAGTTACCAACATTTGGATGGAATAGAATTGTCCCTTTTAATAATGGCTTTTTATGACTAAAATGGTAATTGTCTTATTTACCTGGGAAATAAAAGAATATGGGCAAGTGCATTTACCTAGTAAGTATTTCTCGTGAAACATTTACCTAGATAAGTCTTCTCAGAAAGCGAACTGGTCAATTTGTTCAAGTTTTTCTAAATCATTTGTAGGGTGTTCATGGGTCAGTCTGGTTCAGTTGCAAGCATTTTGGCCAACCAAACCGACCTCTTGGGTTGGTAAACAGGTAAACCAAAACCAACCAATCATAAGGGAAAACCGGCCTAATCATGAAGGATCAGTTTATGACAATTTCTTGGTTTGATTAGGTCGGTTTACTGGCTTAAGATGGATGAGCGCCCCATTGGCGAGGTAGATTTCTACCATGGTTGCACTGTTGCACCATCAGAGTTTAAAGAAGAAATTAGGGAAGAAAGCAGAAAAAAAAAAGTGAGACCAACACACTTGGAAACAAGGAGTTGTAGGAAGAATGGAGATAGAGAGAGGGGAGGAGGCGAAGGAAGAAGAAGAAAAAGGGCTTTGGGCTCTGAACCTAACCTATTGTGGCTTTTCTCGAGGTGGCAGAGTAGTTGGCTGGTTGCATTGGTCATTGGATATATTTTTGAAAATATGACCAACTTGATCTCACAACCCCACTGTATCATATTAAAAAGAAAGGGGCATTTCTGTAATTGAAATTCAAAGTTTTAGTTGTATCAGGGGGTGGAGAGTTGTGACGCATTGAATGCCTTCAAGCATCTAATAAGTCAGCACTTGTTTCCTACCTTGAAGCCTTTTACAGCCTTATCACCCTAAACAGCTAAAACTATTAGGGAGAAGTGCCGATCAGCCCAGCTCAAAATTTACTAGCCACAAAGTACATGGGGAATGCATCCTGACCGTGAATTGATGCTAAATTCACGGGCAGGATGTGGTTTATAGGGAGGGAGAGGGCTACTCGTAGGGGGTGGCTGGAATTCAGAATTCTGCATCGTACTTTACCCAAACTATTAACCTAAATTAAGCTATTAAAAATAAGCCAAGTCGGTTCAGTTCACTTCAATTTTGGTTTTCAATTTTAAAAACAATAACCAGTCCGACCAGACAGATTGTTCAAATTCATAAACCAAAACCCACCGGTTTGGGTTGGATTAGATTGGTTTGGTCAGACTCATGAACAGCCCTACTCATTTGCCACCACCCATGCACATCCAAAGTATATTGTGATTTGGATTTAAGATTTCTTAGTTGACAACCGGGTCAATTTATATGTTAATGGTGAATGATTCATTACTTTCTAAATGCTTGTTTAGGAAATGACAATGAGAATATCTTTTTCTTTTTCCATTTTTCTTTCTTTCACAGTTGATCATATTTGCGGTGGGGATTGAGATGAACTTTTAGAAAACCACGAAGGGGAAAAACCACCTAAAAGAGAAGAGACATAATGGTATAGCAAGCAAAGCTCAAAACCTAGTTGAAGTGATCTGTCAACTAGTATTCAGTGTGAAGATATTAGTCTCGGGTAACTTCATGGCCCTGAGTGGATTTCAAAATTATGATGTTGTGAAGAGCCCAAAGTTGCTGGATATACAGAATTGCCACCTCAACTAAAAAGTTGGATGTGCACAGCATCGCCACCTCAATAAAATAGCTCGTTAGGGCATAGTAATATCTTAATATTTCAAAGAATTGCAAGGCATTGAGTTTAACATGTAAACCACCAACAGTGGGAGCAATTCCACGAGGAAAATGAATATTTGTCATGAAGGATCAGATTCTGGACTACATTCTATCTAGAATTCCCCTTTCCTTCTAGATGCTATCTCTGAAGCCCAAGCTCTCCCCACACCAGTCTGGAACTTACCTGCAGCCAGTACAGCAATAAAAGAATTAAGAAAAAAGACTACAAATTGTAACTATAGAAACTGTCATCACTCCCCCTCAAACCGGGTATCACCCTTTTTTGAGAACATCAACAACCGGCATATCTGTCTGAAGCAACAAATGCCAAACAAACTTCTCTAGTAGTCACTCTCTCTCTCTCTAATAAAGTGCCAATCAACAAAGCAATTAAGAAATCGCTAAGTACTACTATAAGAAACATCAACATCTTTCACCCAAGACAACCCCTCTGTTTCGAAGGGGTGGGAGGGGAGGGAGTTTATCCAAATCTAGGAAGCATGCAAATGTTTACAAATTTCCATGTCTAATGGAAGCAAGTATTCCTTATAGCAAATGTTAAATGCCTTAATATCATATATCACAAAATCCAACAGTTATTATGAAAACCTATTTTTCCCCTGAATATTTTGGATTAGATTTACTCACTGCCTTACTATCGTGAACTTAAAATAACTCTAATTCCTCATAAACTAGCTAATTATGGAAACAACATAAGATTATTACCAGCAGTTGACTGGAAAAACTCATCCAAATCGGCCCCTTGCTCTGTACATAGGAAAAAATAATGTCAGTTTTCAGATCACTTACAGCTAAAAGTAAGATGCTACTTCCCTATTCATTAATTTCAATGGTAGTCAATATCTCCTTACACTCACAGGTGCAAACATATAGATAGATATATGCAGACTAATTTGTTTCATGAAAAGCTCTGGTTTTTGCATTTAATTTCAGACTAGAAGGTTTTACTTAGAAAGCTTTTTTTTTTGAGAAAAGGTAGAGTATAATTGTATTGATCAACCGGTCCTTAGTACAACGAGAAACTGTACAAAAACTGCAACAAGAGGACCTCAAAAAAAGGCCACCCTCAAATAAGTACAATCAGTTGTATCCTCTTTAAAACCTGTGTGTATGGACAACCAGCTCCTAAGAAGCTCTATAGCCCTGTTAATGACCTCAGCTTCCGAGGAGGCTTTCTGATCAAAAGTCCTGCTGTTCCTTTCAGCCGAAACTGCCCACAAAATAACCAAAGGAATTGAGGACCAGCATAATTTCCCCTTCTTTGTCATTCCAGATATGTGCCAAACCTCCAAGCATATTCTATGTTAGTATACCTATTTCAATTGATTCTTTGGATGCCGTTTTTATCTTACCTCTCACATGAACATGTAAACAAAAATTATGTTCAGTAATGTGTAGACTTAAGTCTTTTGCATGGGCCAATACCCTCTTTGACATCCCAACTGGCTAAATCAATTACAAGAAGACAACAGGAAAAGGGTCCCTTTTATTGAATAAATAAATGTCTAAAGTTATGGTCCGTGAAAAATTTTTAGTTTTCCTTTCTTTGTTTGGAAAAAAATCACAATTAAAAAGGGAAAAAATGTGACAGACAGAGAGAGGGAACAATTCTTGATTACATTTTCCAAGGTTCTAATATAAATCTACAAATTATGTATGTTCTTCAAAAAGTCAACATAGATGTAATAAAGCTATACCTTTTTCATATTCCAAGGCTTGAAGTATCATCTCCACCTGATAGGATCAAAGAATTTATAATTATCACCTTATTTAAAGGGATACCCAGGAAAATAAAGAAAGCTATTTCTGAATGCATTCTTTAAACAGAACTGAATAATAAAATAAAAAAGCAAAACTATAAGCAGCATTTCACTTCCTTCTGAAGTAGGAATTCAATCACAATGTCTTAAATACCAAAAAAGAAAAAAAAAATCACGATGTCTTCTGTAGATTGTTGACTGTCAAAATATGAAAGATATGCATCATTTCATTGATGACTTAAATGGCCACGTGAGCTTTGGGGTCAAGAGACTGTTAGGGCACGACAATGTTGTTCTATCTTCTTCCCTTTCATCTGCTACAGCACACTCTGATGCCAAGTCCGGTCCAAAGCTTGGTCAACAATGGATACCAAGAGAAAAACAAAAAGTGAAGGACCCGGGCATGGCAGCAGAAGATCACCCAAACCTGAGGTCCACTAGGGACAGATCGGAGGAGAAAGAGATGGTGAATGGAGGGTGGATTGATTTTGATCTCTCGAGGAAGAAGACTCTGATTCGGATACAGACTTGTCAATTGGCAGCCTGGGGCAAAGTGAAGGGTTCAAATATTTGGAAGGGAACCTTGATATTTTGGCATTCTTCACCGAAGAGAAAAAGGCAATGGAAATCTCCCCTATTCAATGTCAAACAACAGTAGTGAGAGATTTAAAAGATCCTGAGAATGCTCTGGATGTTGGGAGTTAGACCAAGTGTCAAACTTAGAAAAGAAGAGTCATTGCCTAATAGAAATCATGAGCAGGGTGTCCATAAGGCAGGTGCAAAGCACCATAAATGGCTGAACAAGAAAACACTGGAAGGAAATAAGCCACAGAGCTCTGGAGGTGGTTCACAAGTTGTTCCTTTGACAGGGAACTGCCAGCAGCAATCTCATTCTATAGAAGCCAGTAATCCCCAGCCCAAGTTATAGGAAAAGGATACAGTTCCCTCTCCCTTGCCACTCTCAGGTAAGTGTGTGCTTTCAGTTTTTGATACTGACTTGCCTGCAGCTTGTGCTCCAGGTCCCCAGCTTGGTCTAAAGCTGCCAGCCTCGTGTTGAGAAGGATATCAGAGGGTTTAGTATTGGATCCTTAGCCAAGGACGAAAGGGGGAAAAGAATCTGGGAGTTAATTGAGCAGTATTTGGAGGAGACAGAGAAAGAAAGTTCTAATGAGCTGGAGAGTCAATTGGGGGAATCTGCAACTGACTCAAGAAAGGATCAAGTGGATGAGGAAGTGTCTGCAAGTGTGATGTTTAGAGAAGACTCAGTAGCAGAGTTTATGGGAAAACTTGGGTGTAAGTTAAAGGATCCAAATGATTTGAAAGCTTTTTAAAGAAAGAAAAAAGGAGGAAGAAGGGAAGGTGAGGAAGAGAAAAGTGGCTGAGAGACTTAGACTGGATGTGGTCGGTGATAGGGAGTTTAGCGAAAGAAAAGGAATAAGAAGAGGAAGTCAGAAAGGGACTGTAATTGGGGGAAAAGAGTAGCTGTAGGTTAGATAGAAGATAGTGAATTGGCCATGTTTACAATTTAGCAGAGTGTGCTAGTATTTTGGCTTGTTAGATTGAGTCCCTTCCAGTCAAATATTTGGGACTCCCGCTGGGGGTGAGTGGCGGTTCCTCTGCAATCTGGGACCCAGTTATTGAGAGATTGGAAAGGAAGTTGGCCTCTTGGAAGGCAAAATATCTTTCTTTCGGGGTAGGGTGACTTTGATTAAGAGTACTCTCTCCAATTTACCTACCTACTTTCTGTCTCTATTCTTTATTCCTAACAAGGTTGCAAATCAGATTGAAAAACTTAAGAGGAGTTTTCTTTGGAGAGGCTGGGAGGAGGAGAAAAAGGTGCACCTGGTTGAACTGGGAGCAAATTTGTCTCCCCAAAATTGAACGGGGGTTGTTAGGAACCTGCCTAACTCAGGGCTCTTCAAGGGGCCAACCTCCTGAATTCTTGGAAAAAGAGAGAGAGAGAGAGAGAGAGAGAGAGAGAGTTTAATGCTGAAAGAATCAATGTCTTATTCCCTTTTCTGCTCTACTACTTATACTGTTTTACAATCTTGATTGTCTTTCTGTTACAGTTGTTGCAAGTGGATGGTTAGTTGTGCTGACGTGGCCTCCTCTTGTAAAACTGATTAACTGCTTTCTGTTGGTCTGTTCCAGCAGTCTTAACAATCCCCCCTTCCTTTAGAGCGACCTTGCCCTCGAGGTCTAATGTGGTAAAATTTGATTGTAGATCTAAGTAGGATTCCCAGGTTGCATCCTCTTCGGGGAGGTTAGACCAAACAACTAATGCCTCTGGTATGACTCTGCCACTCTGGCGCACCCATCTGAAATCAATGATCCGGGCTGGCTCAGTTTGCACTTGTCCTTCTTCTGAAAATGTGGGAAGACTTGTAATGACTCCCGACTTCGGCCCCTTCTTCAGTAAGGAGATATGGAATACAGGGTGCAGTTTTGATGTTGCCGGAAGGTCCAGGTTGTAGGCCACTGATCCTATTCTCTCCAGGACTTTAAATGGGCCAAAATAGCGCGGGCTGAGTTTGTTCCACTGTCGGCTTGCAACTGAAATCTGTCTGAAAGGTTGTAATTTGAGAAACACCCAATCACCTACTTCATATTGGACATTCTTGTGGTGTTTATCATAGGTGTGCTTCATCCATTGCTGTGCCTGTAAGAGATGATGTCTCAGTTCCCTTAGCACCTCATCTCATTGCGTTAGCTGTTCTTCAACAGCCGCTACTGTGGGGGTTCCTTTTTCATAAGGAAGTAGAAGGGGAGGGTCCCGAGCATATAAAGCTCTGAAGGGTGTCATCCCCGCGACGCTATGGAAAGTGGTGTTGTACCACCATTCGGCCCAGTGGATCCAGTTCACCCATTGTCTTGATCGATCTCCCACGAAGCATCTCAGATATGTTTCGAGACTCTTGTTAACCGCCTCTGTCTGTCCATCAGATTGGGGGTGGTAGCTAGTTGACTTGAACAGTTTAACCCCGTGTAGGCGGAAAAGCTCAGCCCAAAAATGACTGATAAAGATAGGGTCCCTGCCTGATACAATTGAGTTGGGGAGCCCGTGTAGGCGCACAATTTCCCGGAGGAACAATTCAGCAACTGTGGATGCTGTAAATGGGTGTGATAGAGGTAAGAAATGACAATATTTCGTCAGTCTATCCACTACCACAAGGATAACTGTTTTGTTGGCAGAAACGGGCAATCCCATGATGAAATCCATTGATATATCATCCCAGACTTGGGTTGGTATTGGGAGTGGTTGCAAGAGGCCTGCTGGTGTTGTAGTGGCCGACTTGTTTTGTTGGCATACTGCACACCCGGCTATGAAGTTCTGGATAGATGTACGCATGCCTTTCCAATGGAATTGTGTGGTGATGCGCTTTTGTGTTCGTAGGATGCCGGAGTGGCCACCTGTGGGTGAGGCATGGAATAATTCCAGGAGCTTCCTGAGATGAGTAGAAGCTGCTGGAATTTCCAGGCGTCCTTTGAAGAAGAGTAGATCATTCTTAATGGTGTACCCGGGGTGCAATGAGGGATTTGCCAATACTTGGGCCTTCAACTGCTGTAACTCCTTATGGGATTGGGCTTCTTTTCGCAGTAGATCCAGGAGTGGAGAAGTTGGGGAAGATACTAGTAACTGAAATGATTGTGGGTGTCGTCAGAGGGCGTCCGCCACCCGGTTAGCAGCCCCTGCTTTGTATTCAATTCTGTAGTCGTACCCCAGTAGCTTGGATATCCAGCGCTGTTGTTCCGGGGATAGAACTGATTGATCCAATAAGAACTTCGGACTTTGATGGTCGGTCCGAATTATGAACTGTCTACCGATCAAGTAGGATTGCCAGCATTGGACTACTAAGACCATTACTATTAATTCTCGTTCATAAACTGATTTAGCCCACTTTTGTGATGTTAAGGCCTTGCTGAAAAAGGCTAGTGGTCGCCCCTCTTGCATGAGAACAGCCCCAACACCTTGACTGGAGGCATCACATTCAATGATGAAGTCTTTTGTGAAATCGGGCAGTGCTAATGTTGGAGGGCTCGTAACTGCCTGTCTCAATTGCTCAAAAGCTTGTTGGGCCTGGGTTGACCAATTAAAAGCGTCTTGTTTCAGTAATTGGGTCAGTAGGGTAGCTATTAGGCCGTAGTTTTTGATGAAGCGGCGGTAGTACCCCGACAGGCCCAAGAAGGCCCTCAATTCTTCCACACATTTGGGTTGCGGCCAACCCATTATACTGGAGATTTTATCTGGGTCAACCGCTATAGTCCCCTTCTCTACAACATGTCCCAAGTAGTGAACTTGGTTTTGTCCAAAGGAGCACTTGGACTCTTTAGCGAACAACTGGTGGGCCTCAAGTGTTGCAAGGGTGACCTGTAGATGATTCAGATGTTCCTCCCAATTGGGGCTATAGACCAATATGTCATCAAAGAAAACAAGGATGAACTTACGTAAATATGGCCGGAATATGTCATTAATTAATGCTTGAAATGTGGTTGGAGCATTGGTCAGCCCAAATGGCATGACCAGGAACTCATAGTGGCCATCATGTGTCCTAAAAGCCGTTTTGTGAACATCCTCCCTATGTACCCTTATTTGATGATAGCTAGCTCGTAAATCTAGTTTTGAGAATATGGTGGCTTGACTGAGTTCACCAAGCGGCTCATCAATGACTGGTATCGGGAATCGGTCTTTAATGGTGATGCTGTTAAGGGCTCTGTAATCAATACAAAACTGCCACGTCCCATCCTTTTTTTTGACTAATAATACTAGTGAAGAGAATGGGTTGTGATTGGGCTGTATTATCCCTTGCTTAAGCATTTCTTGAACTTGCTTCTCGATTTCAGATTTTTGAAAGTAAGGGTATTGGTAGGGTCTTACATTGGTCGGGGCTGATCCGGGCATGAGGGGGATGCGGTGGTCATGCTCCAGGCGTGGTGGCAGTCCTTGGGGTTCTTTGAACACGCTGCCATAGTGCT